ATTAATACACTGGCCGATTTATTTAGCCGTTCAATATTATAAGTTGCTAGTGGTTGCAACACTTGGCCATTTCACATAACTGTCATAATATTTTGATTAATAATTGACTCGCCGGCTACCATTAAATATTACTTTCCGGAGAAAGAGCTGCACTGGCCGGTCCTCGTAGCCACAAATACTTATTTTCTTACCACAAGGGTCAAACCATAAATATTCAATGTTTATGTACTAAATATTACAATAGGCAATCAATAAATATTAAATACGCACATGCTCATGTATCAAATAATTTTCACAATAGAAAATTTCAAACATTTCATAGTGTCAATATATATTAATATAATTAAATAAACCATATCAATATTGGTCTTAAAATGAAACTTTCATTATTCCGGACATAATAAAATTAACATCAAATAATTTTGATAAGCTGAATTTCTCTTAATGATAAAAACAAATTTTGAGGTTTAATTAAAAAATGTTACTAATAAGAATTTTTCACTTCTTTCCCATGCGTGCATGATCTTGATGGCAATAAAATAACTCTACACATATTTAAATGAAAGTGACACTTGTCTATTTATTATGTTCATGTGTCCACTTTGCTACTATTTTAAAATATATGGGACCACATTCATTATTGATTAGTTGTAGCATTATGATGGTTTTGGAGTTTCTACCGACACTTGATATTGGTATTGTTTTCTCTTGTGATAATGCAAATTGCAAAGAAAAAGAGACCATATCCTTGCATAACAATTATTTGTTTCTCATCCATCTTCATGCTATTCCAATATTACTCTGTTATTGAGACCGTTGAAGTGCAACGTTCATTTTCTTTTTAAACCAAAATAAAAGCATCACCAGTCAAGATCATAACAAGTTTCAACGACAAAATTGCTCCTCATGGTATGCTGATTTTATTTATTCATCTGCATATCTAACTATTTTTCATATACATATTCATATTGTTTATTTTTATTTTTATTTTTATTTTTATTTTTATTTTTTGTTGTAAATTAACATTCATTGTATTATTCGTGAACAATTAAAAAGTATATTAAATTATTACCTTGGATAAGAGGATCATTAATAAGCTTTTGATCATACTTCCGTCATGATAAGAAATTCGGCTGCCAATACACCTCTATTTTGTTCCGGAGTCCGCTCACGCCGTCGTCACCCATATACACCATCACCATTATCTTGTCTGCACTTCTTTTACATTTATGGGGTGAAGGTGCATATGTTCCCTCACAACCAGGGAATGGAGAGTCATCATGTTCGTGAATAAATATGCCCTCCATTTCATATCACTATTAGAAGAGGGGTGGCTAGTGGAGTAGTGGTGGTGGTGGGAAGTTGTCGGAGAGAGTTCTTGAAGAGAATAATGATTTGTAACACGTAGATTTCTGATACGGAGGATCATCTTTAAGATGCAACCGCAGAGCATACTCTCGTTATATTACAAATCGAGCTCTAGAGGGTAGAGACTCGTGCTGATAACGTGTTATAAAACTAAAGATAAAGAGAAAGAATAGAGAAAATGTTTTTTCTTAGATGAAATTTTCATTATAACTGAAGCTCCTATTTATAGGAAACTTCTGATGGCACAACCGTAATAATACAATTATATTAGGGGCAAAATAGTCATTCATATATATTATTTTATAAATATTTCACAACAAATAATAATAATAATAATAATAATAATAATAATAATAATAATAATAATAAACTAGTGTACACCATGTAGTGAGGTAGTGAGTGAGTTAGTTTGACTATTTCTAGGATGCATTTATGTTGTACTCCTCTCGCTAGATTTGGCTTGATAGTTGCTTGGCTTATTCTAACTGATGTTTAGTTGTATACGTGTTTTTGTTATAAAATCTCGTTTCAAAGGAAAAAAAAAAAAAAAAGTCTCATACACATGTGTGTAAATTTCCCAATGACGTGTGTGTAAATTTCCCAAATTTCAACAGCCCCATATTTATCTCCTAGGCCCCAATAGGGATGTAAATGGGTCGGATCGGGTACGGGTTTTGACAAACCCGAACCCGACCCGCATGTAATTTACCCTACCCAAACCCGACCCGTTACCCGGTTGGTGATCTTCGGGTTCGGGTTCGGGTTGGGTTTTGCCCGGCGAGTTAATGGGTTTTTTCGGGTAAATGGGTAACCCGAGTTTTTAAATTTGGGCTTTACTAGATCCATCTCGTTTCATATTAATAATAAAATAAAATAATTTCACAATTAATTATAATGTAACAAATAATTTATTAACTAAGTTCGACAATAAAAAATTACAAAACTATTATATTATTTTTATAATAAATAATGAGATATAATTATTTATCTTGTATAGTCAAATTAATAATATTATATTAAAAAATTAAGTATAAATTTTTTATCATACAATTAACAAAAATTGATTATAAAATCATAAAAAAAAATTTACCATTAATCAAACTTATAATTAATAATCTAATTTTTATACTAATAACACATGACTACTTTTATATTTATAATAATTTGTAAATACATATATATGTGTATATATAATATTCAATGGTTGCGGGTAAACGGGTAGGGTAATCGGGTCGGGTAGCGGGTTTTTCTACTATACCCGTACCCGAACCGACCCGGGATTCGGGTAGAATAACTCTACCCGAACCCGACCCAAAACCCGATCGTCTCAGGTTTACCCGACCCGAAAATGCGGGTAACCCGTGGGTAACCCGACCCTACGGGTTTTATTGACATCCCTAGGCCCCAAAGCCCAAAAGGAATGGCAATGTTCATTTTTTCTGCCATCAGTCACCACACGCAACACGCAACACGCACACTGAACGGCGAAAAATTGTCCAGCGGCGGATGGTCATCATCACCAACTCCGACGATTAACGGTGAAACTTCGCGGCTTGTTTGGCCTTCAAGGTGGGTACCGGCGCCGTGAATCTTGCTTCCAAACGCAAGGACGGTCGGATCGGATTAGTCGGTCGTCGGAGACAATTATCGGCAGATAGATCGGGCTCGGCTTGAAGAATGACGTCGGAATTTCATAGGAGCTGCAACTGGGAGAATCAGTGCAATGCCGAGATTAACGCGTGACGATTGGTTTTTTTCGTGCAAGGTTAGTCTTTTCCTTTTTGGTTTCAATATAAACTGTATGAGGGGGTGGAGATAATTGTAAGCTATTTGGTTTTAATATAAACTTTTAGGTATGTTAAATGTGAGTGTTGTCAAATATTCTTGAGCCAATCCACCTGTGTTAGCAGTATGTTGACAAAAGCATTGCTTCTTGTTTTGTATGTGGTGTTTTAGGAATCTTGAGGAGTATGTAAAGAAAGCATTCTTGTTTGTTGCTAAATGAATTCCCATGAAAGCACACTGTTTACAAACACACATCATCAGAAAATAACAAGAAAACACTCATTATTCCTAGTACACACAGTCTGAAACATCACACAAACCTAAAAATGGTTTGTGATAAACCAATCCATTAGGACCACACAGAACAGAAACTCTTCACAAACAGTATTTCCATTTTTCTCTTTATGGTTTGCAGCTCTGAAAGTGTTTGGCGGAAGGACGGTAGCTGGAGCGGAGGCAGGCGGCGAGCAGGAGCCTGGTGAGGCGGCGAGCAGGAGCCTGGTGAGGTGAGGCAGACGGAGGCATTGTACGGCACATGAACGATCGTGTCCACGACACCGCCATTAGTCATCGCCATTGCCGGGTAAAATTTTCGAGATCCTGGAGTCACTTGTTTCGCCTTCTACACTCGACTCGACTTTACCAATAGAGCAGTAAAACCATCTTTCTGGAAAACAAAAAGGAAATCCCGTTTAGTCCCCTTCCACCGAACACCATGGATATTCATATCTGTAGCGTCTCCAATCTCCTCCTCCCCTTCACCACCGCCCTCGTTCTCATTCTCGCCGCCACTGCCACTGCATTGCCGGAAAATCCCACATCGAAGCCTCAACCTCCTTCCCCTCCCCCGCTTTCTTCAATTCTTGCAAAGCCATCAAACCAACTCTAATCATCTTCAATTCTTACAATTTGAGTTGGGATTGATTTTTGAGCATTTGGAGTTTTAGAGAGTGCCGGCACGACCACCGGCCTTTTTTTTTTTGTTCTGAGTTTTTTATAATTATTGAATGAAATTAAATGGTAAATAATAATAATTTTATCTATAGGGGTAGTTTTGAGGAAAGAGGGGATGTTGGTAGGGAGAGCAGTAGAAAAAGTAAAAATTAGGGATTGACAAGGAAATTGAAATAAGGATAGGGGATTTAAGTCCAATTAACCCATATTCCTTCCTTTTTAGTTTTCATCTTAGTTTTTAGTTTTTATCCATACTAACAAACAAGTAGATTTGTGGGCAGTAAACCCAACTGGGGTTTTAAGATGAGCACTTCCAATTTGGTCGCAGAATCAGTTTGGGAGGCCATTGGGTCGACCCGTTCAGGTTCGCCTCTTTTCTATTTTCATTTACTATTCAGATTATATCTCGATTTCCGTGTTTGTTTTGTTCTACTCGTCCATATTGATAACTTTTTGGTCTATATTATGGAAAATATGCAACTGACCTCCAACAGTCACGGATGATCAGCTGTCCATGTGAGTACTGTAGCCTATATTTCCTTTTTCCCTTCTTCTTTCCTTTTTTTTTATATGGATATCTTCACCATTTATTTTATTGAGTAACCATTTTAATTTGTTATATACAGATTACATTTTATATATGGGAAGAATTTCGAGAAAGCCACTAGGATTTTTGATCAAAAGGGAGTCAAGAGGATTTCCGGTGAGCCCAGTGGCCTATTCATTTTTCAGGTGTGTTCTCTTGTTAATGTGTGTGTGTGTGTAGGGAGAGAGATTATTCTGTGGTGGGAATAAGTTTCAATAACAAATTAAAAACTTACACTAAAGGTAAGGTGCAAAAATACTTTTCCGAGAAGGTTTTATCGAAAACCTCAGAAAACATCTAGAAAAAAAACAAATCTGCAACTTACCAGCGAGCAATGACCAACAGATATGAAATTGTGGCACAGGTGGTTCGAATCCCATCAACTATATAAGATTCTGGGGAAGAGAATGAGGTGCAGGACCCCGTACGTAATATAATAAATTGCTGATGTGAGAGATAATCAAGGAGTGAGAGTTAGACGATCAATCCGAAATTACATACATAATTAGAAAGGCTATTTGATCAAATGACAAAGGCATTGCTAAGAAAAAGATGGATTTTCCCGGATGAAATTCATGTAACAGGAGAAATTAGACATGCTTTTGTTGGATAGCTTTTATATCGGTAGAAAGAAAAACGTTCTGAGGGAGAAAATGAATAATTTGAACGTTATTTGGTGATAATATGGAAATATAATGCCAACATTAGTGTGATGTAAAAGTAATAATTAAATATTAGATTTTATTATGGTAACTTGTGCAGTAATTATTATTTTTTAAAAAATGTATATTATTATAAATGAAGTAAAAAAAAGTGCGATAGAAAATATGGAAATGCTTTTTTTCAGGTTCTAGGCTAACTGCAAAAGTGCCCAGTAATTGTAATTGTTTTGCAGATGTGATTTTCTTTCGTAAATAGACTATAGACCTCATTTGTTAGTTTTTGTAAAGTAGTTCTGGATTTTCTATAAATTTTCTGTTTTGGTAGGTTGTGGGAGAATCTAGGAGAAAGGAAGAGTACTTGTGCTTTGGGGAACACTATTGTGCTTGTTATTCATTCTTCTATGACATCGTAAACAAAGGAGAAGAACTTTGTGTGAGTTTCTTTGGTTCTCCCTGCATTGTTTCTGTTCACGCATTTCTTCATTTTTTTTTGCTCGTGTTATTTACGGGATGATGATTACCGAAAATTATCCTTGAGTTTTGGGGGTGATATAAAATTATGAATAAAAAGAGTAGTTTCGAAGTTGAAGAAACTATAAGGATTAATTGTGTAAACTTCAAGAGTTGAGGGGCGCAACTGTGAAATGTTTGCTACACTGTCAAAACTATCTGAAATTTTTTAGTAAAGGCCATTTGCCTTTTTACGTTACTGTGAAGTTGGAAGCTAATTTGTTTCGGTTTTACAGTGTAAGCATCAACTGGCTGCAAGACTTGCAGCCTCAACTGGGACGTGCATTGAAGTTAGAGTTTCTGATGAGGAATTGGCCTTATTGTTAGCGGACCTCTGAGTAGATATATGAAAAGGCTATGAAAAACATAGGCACTCTGTTTTCAAATTGTGTCGAGTTTTTGCTTCAGCTACGAAAGTAGTCGTTTCCCCTTGTAATACTGTGACTGAAGTGACAGATTTGTGAGGTCGAAAAGAACAGACTATTTGTCGATTTCAAGTAGTAATCTGCAATCACCAATCGTGCTACAAGTACATATTCCATGTTTTGTTCGTCATTGCTCTCTCATTCTCAAAATACAACTAGCAGAATTGTCTTCTTCATTATGGCTCTGAATCTCTTAAAATACCTTTGTTGCTGGATTCATGTGCATGACAGCTTTATCACAAGCCACATAAAAAAATTTGGCAAATTGCATATATATAAGTAACTTGCTAACTGCAAATCCATAAGATTCAGAGTAACTAAAGAACAAAAATTGTTACCTTTCGAAATTTTAATTCCAAATATATTGAAAGGGTAACTCATACAGCAATCAGCAAGTGCAAAGCTCGGCTCGGCTCGTATATCAATCTGAGCGAGTCGAATTTGAGCTTTAACGAGCCGAACTATTAAAAAATTAAATAAAAAATCTCTTTTCGACCTTAACAAGTCAAGCCTAGCCCAGCTCGTTAATGAAACGAGCTTTAAGCAAGCTCAACTCAGCTCTTGAACTTTAACGAGTCGAGCCTAGACGAGCTGCACATTTCTTTTGACAGCTCTGGTAATCACCAGGCGTTTCTTCAACGCAGATGCAAACAACATATCACCAGCATACTTTTACACGAATGACACAACTAATATAATTAAGTAATATATAATCTCAGCAGAAATCCCAAAATCAACTAAAATAGAGATCAAGTAAACACAAGAGAGATCAATCAGGGATGCTGATATTCACTCATCATAAAAGCATAAAACGTTTCATAGCCTACAAATGTTGATCCAAAAGCCAAAATTACTCCCTCAGAGAGAGAGAGAGAGAGAGAGAGAGAGAGAG